TTGTGATGACCAGCTTGTTCTCTTGACAAAACTCTATTAGCCTTTGCCCTGCTTTGTTTTGAACTCCAAGGCCAAACTTACCTGTTGTTCCTTTTATCTCTTGACCCCCTACTTTAGCATTCCAACCCCCTAGAATGAGAAGAACATCTTTCTTTGGTGTCAGTTCTAGAAGGTGTTGTCAGTCTTCATAGAATTGGTCAGCATCAGACTCTTCAGCATCGGTAGTTGGTGCATAAACTTGGATTATTGTGATATTGAAAGGTCTGCCTTGGATTCGTATTGAAATCATTCTATCATTTTGGAGATTGTATCCCATTACAGCTTTTCCCACTCTTTTGTTGACTATGAGGGCTACTCCATTTCTTCTACGGGATTCTTGCCCACAATAGTAGATATGGTAATTGTCTGAGCTGAATTCACCCATTCCTGTCCATTTTAGTTTACTGATGCCCAGGATGTCGATGTTTATTCTTGACATCTCCTGTTTGACCACATCCAGCTTCCCAAGGTTCATAGATCTTAAATTCCAGGTTCCTATGCAGTATTTTTCTTTGCAGCATCGGACTTTCCTTTCACTTCCAGGCACGTCCACAGCTGAGCGTCCTTTCGGCTTCCGCTGAACCACTTCATTAGCTCTGGAGCTACTTGTCCTCTGCTCTTCCTCAGTAGCATGTTGGACACCTTCCAACCTGAGAGGCCCATCTTTCAGCGTCATATCTTTTAGCCTTTTGTTTCTGTTCATGGGTTTTCTTGTCAGAGATACTAGAGTGGCATTGCCAATGCCTGCTCCAGGTGGAGCGTGTTTAGCCCACGATGACCTGTCCGTCTTGGGTGTCCCTGCACAGCATAGCCCAGAGCTTCTCTGAATTACTCAAGCCCTTTCGCCACGACAAGGCAGCAATCCGTGAAGGAAGTTGGCTACAATATTACAATTCCATGTCATCAAGTCAACTCCGACTTTTGGCGACTCTTTCCAGGGTTTTCTAGGTAGAGAATACTCAGAAGTGGTCTATGCTTCCCTTCTTCTGAGGGTACCTTGGGAGTGTGCAGCTGGCCCAAGGCCACCCAGGCTGGCTCTTCTCTTGGGAGGAATCGAACTTCCGACCTCTGGCTTTGCAGGGCTACCTAGCCATCTAGTGTCTGGCTATACTGGGTGCAAAAGGTGGTAAAACAGGAAGGGGAAACTTATAGCCCTCCAAAGTTATTAGACCACAACTCACATCCATGCCTGTGCTCGTTGCTGCTCATGGGAGTTGTAGTCCCATAACATATGGAAGCCATCTATTCACCAGTCCCATTTAAAACTAAACAAGACTCAGATGTGCCTTTTATCCCATCATATCCCAGATGTTGCTAGACAGCCAACTTTATCAATAGTTTTAAAAAAGAGTTCCCTCTGAAATCAATGCAAGGCTCTGACCCTTATAGCACACCACATGGTGTGTTTGCTTGCTTTGAGAATCAGGCATGAGTCGCGGAATCCCAGGAAATACGCCAATGTGATTTACCCATTGCGTTTTCTCTCTCTCTTTTTTCTCCCCAGGAAAGATGTCTGACGGTTTTTCGGTAAGCGTCTGCTGCTTAAGAAGAGAAAATTTTCCAATGTAAAGGAAACCCAGGGATGCCCCACCCCAAGTAGAATGCTGTTGGGGAGCAGTCTATCCAAGAAATCCCTCCATCTCTAGAATTCCAACCCAGAAATTGTTATCGTCTGGAAGGAAGTAGATGTATCGGGTAAAAACGAATGCCGGTTCGGTCACTAATCCTGTTTTTCCTTCCCCTGTGCAGCTGTCCGATGCCCTGTCGGGGTCCGGCAACCGGAACCCAAATGCACAGCCTAATCCCTGGGGAAACCAGCCGGGTGCTTTCCCAGGATATCCCGGAGCACCGGGGGGTGCATACCCGGGAGCACCAGCATATCCTGGAGCACCCAGCGCCTATCCTGGGGGTCCGGCTGCACCCGGCGCCTATCCCGGCGAACTGGAATTGTAGGCAATTATATTATGAATGTTACATTATTACAGAAAGGGCATCACATCCCTTCAGATATATCAGAAGAACAAAAGTAACATTCTTCTCATGGGCTGGAATTGCTCTCTGTTTGATACACAAACAGTTTCAAGCAAAGTTAAACAGTGTTATTGTAGGATACCACATGTGAATTAAACCATAAATGCTGATATCTCCAGACATAACCCTACCAAGGTGGGTTCTGCTCACTCTATGTCTGTAGGAGTGGAATCTGTTAAAAAGGAGAAAGAAGCCTACAGTGGGACCTCTACTTACAAATGTCCCTACATACGAATTTTTTTATTTATGAACGGCTCTGTTTCCAAACTTTGGCATCGACTTGCAAATGGAGCCTCAACCTACAAACGAGGTCGAGGCTCCATTCACAAGTCAATGCCATTTTTGGCCAACAGAGCCGTTCGTAAATGGCTCCCTGTAAAAAGGCAGGGAGAAAGGGCTGGAAATTCAAAATTCCCACCCTTTCTCCCTGCCTTTTTGCCTTCGGAGGTCTCAAAGGGCTTCCTCTGATGTTGGAGGGAAAAGCCCTTTGAGACTTCCGAAGGTAATTTTTTGAAATGCTTGAATGGAAAATGGTACTTCGGCTTACGAACTTTTCGATATACGAATGCCATTCCAAAACGGATTAAGTTCGTAAGTCGAGGTACCACTTGTACCATCCTGTAGTGCTTAAAACGGGTCATGAGAAGAGTCTTGGCTGCTGTACTGCACTTTAACCACCTCAGAGGAACAGCACATGCTTGTTGTTATCAGGATAAAAGTTACAGCTTGGCCGGCAAACTCCCTTCTGTTGTACTTTGCGTAAGCACACCTATAGCCATCCCAGAGCGGCAAAGTTTATTGAAATTGTAAAGCCACAGTGGGGAAAAACCTTTTTGAGGAGGGTATGAAAAGAGAGGAGAATCTGGAAATATATGGAATACTCCTTTTCATGTCAAACCTATTTCACTGCTTTAGCAGTATGAAATTATTGATATTGAACTCAGTTGGCATATCAAATTGTATTATTTGTCATACTTAATGAAATTTAATAATACAAAGCGGTCATAAAAATGCAGTAGTTAAGCTGTACAAGAAAAAAAAGAAAAAAATTTGGGGGATGGGCAGAACAAGGGAGTAAGTGTAGTCTTCCAGGGTTCAGTTTGGGTGTGGGAGTTGGATTTTGGACGTTTAGACCTTGCCTCCCTGGTTTAGGAAGTACAGTATTATTTATTTCTATGGGCTGACTTATCTACAAATCCTCATGGTATGCAGTTTCTAGCCAGATGGATGACTCACTGGTTTAGATATCTGGCTGTGGGCCCAGAGGTTGGGAGTTCCGATTCCCTACTGGTGCCTTCTGGGAGAAGAGCCAGCCTGGGTAGCCTTGGGCCAGCTGCACACAGTCCCAGAGCTCCCCCTAGAGAAAGGGAAGAGTAAAGCACTTCTAAGTTTTTTTCTAGCCGGACAACCCTAAAAAAGGGTTACCATCAGTCAGAATTGACTTGACAGCACATAGCTGTTTATGATTGGATGCAGGTCCTGGCATTCTGAGTGGGTGATCCCTTCTTGTAGAAAAAACCCCACTCATTCTGAAAGACTAAATATTTCGTTTTGGCCTTTTTCTAGATTTTGTCATTTTCCTCACAGAAGTTTTCCTGTGAGGAAACATCAAGGCCTCCTTCCCTCATTCCTTATTCTGTTTCTTATCAGGGTTTTCCTTATCTCTAAGAAAGCCGGAATGTCGGAGTTGAAGGGTTGAACCGCACAGACTAATTAGAGCAGGCCAGCGAAATGAATCATGCTGGGCCCTGGGGTTATTGTGTTTTGCTTTAAAAAAAAAAAACCTAATGTAAATCCATCTGCGCTTGTCTTGCAGAAAGTTCCCTTCGAGTTACCTCTTCATTCAGGGGTTGTGCCTCGCTTGTTGATCACCATTGTCGGGAAAGTGAATTCAAGACCCAACAGGTAAAGTTCGGTTCCTTGCTTGAGCATGAGGCGGTGGCCGTAATGTAACAGGGCCGGCCCTACTGGTGACTGAACCGAGGCCGTTGCTTCAGGTGGCGGAATGGTAGGGGCTGTGAAGATTCCCCCATGCGCTTCCCAGAGGAACTGTGGCCCTCCTTGTTGTGTGCTGCTCCCTTTGGCTCCAGAGGCAGTGAGGCAGCTTCTTCAGTCAGACCTGGTCCTGGATTTTCCGGGGGGCGGGGGGGGCTGGCTGGCACCATGCCTTGTCTGTGAGGACCCCTTGCAGCCAGGTCTTTATTTATTGTTTAGTCGTTAAGTTGTGTCCGACTCTTCGTGACTCCGTGGACCAGAGCACGCCAGGCCCTCCTGTCTTCCACGGCCTCCCGGAGTTGGGTTAAATTCACATTGGTTGCTTCGGTGACCCTGTCCAACCATCTCGTCCTCTGTCGTCCCCTTCTCCTCTTGCCCTCACACTTTCCTAACATCTGGGGCTTTTCCAGGGAATCATCTCTTCTCATGAGATGGCCAAAATATTGGATCTGTCCTTCCAGTGAGCACTCAGGGTCTTTCTAGAAGAAGCTGATTGGCATAATTGGTGGCCAAACAAAGGGCCACGAAATAAGGAATAAAGGCTGGGGCTTCTTGTGATGGCACATGGAGGCCATTGCCAACTCTGTACACCGTGTGCTTCTGTGTGGGTGGGTGCAGTGCGGCTACAGTGCTGTCTCCTGATCACTGTACATCTGGAAAACTGGGGAAGACTAGAAAGGCGTTATCTCCTGGAGTCTCGCTAGTGAGCAAGCCACGAGGTGTTTGGAAGTGTGAAAAGGTTGGCTGAAGGGTTGCTGTGATCGTGAAAGTTTGACGAGGCAGCAGGAATAGATGTATGATCACCAAATAGAAATGGGCACCAACCATTGGTTCGGTGTTTCGGCCTGGTTCGTTTACCGGCCCAACTGGTGTTCTGAGGTTCAGCGCCCGACTCCCTCTGGCGGGCACCCACGCCTGGCTTTCCTTCCCCGCCTCCTCTGTGCGTTGCCTTTGAGTGGGCACCTGCTGGAGGAGGCAGGAAGCCAAACCACAGAACACCTATTTGCAGAGTCAGCGAACCAGGACAAACTGTTGAATTGGTGGTGCATGCCCATCTCTGTTACCGAACAACGGCAAATGACTAAGCCAATAATCATTGTACAGAACTACTAATTTTTCTTTTAGTCGGGCAGTTGTGCAAATCAAAAAAAAAATCTTTAAGAAAACAAGCCAAAAGCCCAGTTTTAGGAGTTGCATTGATCGTGAACATTCATCTGGCCACACCTTGGCTCTGTGGCCTTGTTGTTCCCTCTTTGTCTTAGAGACAATACTGCTGGGTGTTTCCTGTTTAGAGTCCACCCAAGGGCAGACGGGGGTTTAATGAGCAGATTAAGCCATGCCTTATAGCTGGGCAAAACACTTCTCCAACCCTTCACTCTCCCTCCACCGTTGACCTTTTAAAGGTCTTGAATGCCAAGTTGTTCTTGTAACCAGATTGACCCTTTTCAGAGAAGGATGTAAACCGATGGCGCCTCCTGGTGTTTGTTAATAAAATAACAACACAAATAACTCCAATCCACTAGTGTGGTCTACATGTTGGTGAACTAGAAAGCTGATGCCTTCTCAACTTCCATTGGCTACCCTCAGAGATTTCTAGCATTTGTAAACTGAGGAAGGGGTGTCCTTCATGGGAGATGTTTTCAAATCGTCTCTTTGGGGAGAATAAGTCAGTTGACACGCATTGGAGACCTGGTGATACCTGCCTAAAATGGGTATTTGGGTGTCACCTTACCTATTGCTATGCATTCTAGAGAAGGGTTTTCATCTGATTCACATTGTTTTGAGCTGGCCTGTTACAATGTGGCCTTAAAGTGGGTTTAAAAATATTTTTTAAAAAATGTAGATAAACAGATAATAGATGTAGACTCTTTTAAAATTCTCCATGTCCGTCTCCCTGGTTTTACTACCACCATACGCATGTCAGGAAAAAGGCCAGTCCATGGTCTCTCCTTCGGGTCTGATATTGTTTTGACAGGCTTCTCTTTTCCTTTGGGACAGAGGGGCAGCTGAACCAGACCTCCTTGGCTTTTTCTGTTTGGCTTTGGAATGAGCCGCCCCCTGAAATCTGCCTGGAAATCTTGAAGGAATCCTTGGAAGCCTTTTTAATTTCAGCAGGCATTTCAAAATACGCCATCTGAATAGCCGCTCTTCATTGGCACCTGCTTTTAAATGTCATCTCAATTTAATTTTAATTTTTTATTTTGATTGAGTTTGTGTTTTCTTTATGTCGTTCCACTATTGTAAACCGCCCAGACTGACCATTGGTTAGAAATCAGATAGATAGATAGATAGATAGATAGATAGATAGATAGATAGATAGATAGATAGATAGATAGATAGATAGATAGATAGATAGATAGATAGATAGATAGA